CATCTTTCTAGTCCTGAGGCTAATTTGTAATATTTTAATTTCATTTATTAACAATTTAATGATAACACAGAAAATTAAAAGGCATTAAAATAAGCTGTAACGCTTATTATTTTAATCCAATTTTACTTATTTCAATACCAAAATGGATTAAAATAAGCAAAATTGGATTAAAATAATAAGTGTTGCAGCTTATTTTAATGCCTTTTAATTTTCTGTGAATTTTCGAAAAAAATCTAAAATTATTTTTTCTTTTTCAAAAAAAACGCACTTTAAAAATTTCTTTTTGTAATTTAAAAAAAAAATTTCATTTTTTTAGATATACAGTTATGCAATATCTGAATATGATCGACAGTAACTTTATTATTATATAGATAAGAGAGAATGGCGAGCGCGCGAGAGGGCAATCTCAGCGGAATGTCCCTTATCGTTTTTTTTTTTTTTTATCAAAACAAAGATAAGGTTTATTACGTTGGCCTACGTAAACGAAAGAATTTTTCAGAAAAAATATTTTTTAAATGCGTTGAACCGAAATTTTGACTATATATATATATATTTGGACGTCGCGTCGGTGAGTGAAAAGCATGTTTAACGCATGGATGAATTTTGATATACGGAAACAGGAGCGGCGAACAGTAAGTGGCTGTTTCCTCTCTATATAGTTTTTAATTTAAATTAGCTTTAATTTTTCCATCTCTTTCTCTCTTGGTTGATTTTTTTAAAAATAACTTTCAACACGTGCTTATGCACCTCAAATGCTCAAGAGAGATCTCTTTTAATTTTCGCGCAGTTTTTCTTTTTCTAACTTTTGAATTTTTCTAAAAAAATTTTTTTTCCTTTTTTTTTTTTTTTAAAATAGTTTTTTCTTATGAGCTGCGCAAAGAGAAATTTTATTCAAAGTTATTTCTGCCTTTTAGTCTCACTTTTAAAAATCATATTGCAAAAAAAAAATAATTATGAGCTGTTATAATTTTTTCAAATTAAAAATTTTTATTTATTACTGTTCGCTTTCCTTTATCTCAGGGAATTTTTTTTGTTTTGCCGAATAAATATATTTATTTCGCATAAATACTTGATTTAACTAAATTTTATTCTTTAACTAAATTTTATTCTTTAAATAAATTTTATTTAAATTGAATAAAAATTTTATAGGCACTAAATAGGATTTTTTATAAAAGTTATATTTTTAGATAAATTTTTTTTTTTTATAGAAAATTGTTCGCATAGTACATATAACATCGCGAGGATAAATCTTCATATCATATAAGCAGTTGAGGTTCTATAATGGTAAACTAGACCCTTGGTATAATTCATTGAGGGCAAATTTACTTGTTAATTAACTAATTAGAGAGTACCTTCTAATTGACTGATAAAGCACCCCCCCACCCACCCCCCTCACCACTCTCACCTCCAACTCGTCAGAATTTAGATTGATAATGATGTTGCTGCCAGACACATTAATGTCACAGGAAATACGCGTTTGTTCAAAAGCTTGTGCTATCAATATCGATTATAGAGCTATTATGGCTAGGAAAATTAATTTAACCCAAAAACAGTAATATATTTCGAAAGAGGATAAATTGGAACAAATTTTTTTATAAAAAAATATATTAACAAAAATATTTATTAAAAAAATAAAGAGAAGAGAAATTTTTATTGAACCAACCATCTTTAATTAGATTATAACCAAATGAAGAGAAAAAGAAATTTTGTTATCTGGATTTTTTTTAGAATTTCAATTTAAAGAAGTTAAATTTATTCATTTATTGCGCGCAGGGTTTATGTTGGCGGAAGTGCTGAAAGGGTAACATCCTTTGATTGGCCCAGTTAACCGACTGTCTGTTCTGCATATCTAACCACGCTGTTTCAGTAGACGAGCCCCTATATATACCTACTCTCTCTCTCTCTATCTCTCTCTATAGTAAATCACCAATGGCTTGTTTAATATTTGAATCAAAGTTTAAACAACATTCAAAGCTAAAATCCAATGCCACGATATTTTATGCTCTTTACGAGAATTGAAACTAATCAAAGGATTTTGAAATATCAAATCAAAATTTCATTCTTTTTTTTCTATTTTTATTATTCCTTCTCTCTCTCTCGATTATTTTTGGAGTTTTATTAATTCCCCATTTTTTTCTCTCTATATAGAAAACTTTAATTATTTCAAAAGCTTTATTGGAATTAATATAAAATATTGTGGGGGATTAATTTTTAATAAAAAAAAAAGTTGGGAAATTATTTTAGAAATTAAAAATTGGTAAATAAAAAAAATTCATATTATAAATAGTGGTATACACAGAATAGAAAAAAAGAATTTTCAGTTAAAAGGCACATTTTCTCAATTAATTAATGCTTCATTGGAACTTCTTTAATGGACAGGAAGCTGTTCATTCTAATTTACTTGATGAGTAGCGTCGAAAGCTTTTATACAGCCCAGTAAAAAAAGGAAAAAAAAAAGTTGATTAACTCGAACAAAAAAAAAAGAAGAGCAAAAATAAAGCAATGACAAAACAAAAGGAATAATAAAAATTCATTCGGTAATCAATGTCCTCTTAAAATTTTCCTTCAGGAATTTTCTTTTCCGGTTGTATTATTTTATTTCATTTTTATTCTAAAAAAAAATGAATTTTTTTTGCTAAATAAAACTGAAATTTAATCAAACTGACTTTAGTAAAAAGTTTGGCGAATTATTGAAAAACGATGCGCTCTCTACTATTCGAATATCACGTATAAATGGAAAAGAGAAGTAGAAAATGTCAAGATAATGAATGATACGTCGGACAAAATTAAAAATATAATTGCCAACTTGGGAAGAAAGGTATCAAGCAGATGGGTCTTTGGGTGAGAAAATATAATTTTCATTTTTAATTAAGACAAAAAAATTCTAAAATGTTGACACAAAAAAAAATAAGCAAGAGAGAATTTGCCAAAAAAAAAAAAGAACCTTGACTTTTCATCACTTTAAAGAGCAATTGAATTTATAGCACACACATATACTTGAATAAATATACTAAATATTAATTATTCCCTTTAAAATGTGTTCAGAGCATAAATATGAAAATGCTGACTAATGGTCTCTCATCTTTCAACTAAGAAACAAAAAAAAAAAAATATACGCGATTCTTTACATTCTTTAGTCTCAAAAAAAAAACTTGAAAATTTATAAGAGAAAAAAAATTACTACAATTTATATTTTTGCAGACGATTGTAAGAATATTTTATATAAAGAATTGTGCATATTTTCTTTTCTTATTCTTTAGAAAAGATTTATTATACAATTTTAAATATATGGAAAATAATTGCAAAAAAAAATAAATGAGCATTAAAATTCGTATTTTTCAAAAAATATTTTCACAAAAAAGAAAAAATATTTTTAATAAAAATAAAACCCTTTACGGTATTCATTTTTCTTTTTGGAATTTATTTTTTCCACTGAATTTGTACTTCAATGAACTAATTACGGTGGGTTATTTTAAAAATTTAAGATTTCTTTGAATATTATTTTGTTTTTATAAATGCAATTTAAATAAAATTTTCATAAAAAATTGTTTTTTTTCTATACGTTTATAATTTGAATCCCAACTACTTTTTAAATGAAGATTTTTTATTCGTATAATTAACGTTTCTATCAATATTTTCTTTTAATTATCATTCTATATGTAAAATTCATCATTTAAAAATTAATTTCCTTTGGAATTATTATTGTTTGAAAATTTTTTTTTTTCTCTTCGTAAAATATTTTTTGGTTCAAAAAATATTTCTAATATATTTTAATTTCAATATCAATATTAATTCAATACTCTAACTTTAAGAATATTTTATTTTTAAGAATAATTAAAGATTATTTTAATTTCAAAAATAGAATCTAATTTTATTTTTGAATAGAAATATTCTTTTTAGAATAAATTTTTTTTAACGATACACAGCGTTAAATTAAAACGCTTCTTATGGAATTTAAATTTCTTAACGAATAAATCTTAAAAAAAAAAAAATCTATTGTGAGTATGAATAGTAAAAAGCAAAGTGAAAAAATGTCTTTAAAGATCAAGATTCGTATGTTCAGAGACAATGTTTTTCTCATGAATGAAAATGCATGTAGGAATTATTATTATTAAATGTGTGTCTGTTAAGGTTGTACTATCATATATATATATGTAAAAGGTATATTCTCGGACAATTGGTATGCATAGGAGTAATTCGCATATACAGTCTCCCCTATGGCAAGCACCCTTGCGCCCCACTGGGTGACCAAGATGCAATCGTAAACTCGCTTATATGTTCACGAGCATAATGCACAGAAATACGCGTTGCATTCCATTCACGTAGTTAAACGTTAACCTCCTTGACTATATGCTCATGCCCACCAAAAGTTAAGATTCACATAGCAAAATATATATTTCACGCGTGCGAAATTTCACTCTCAATTTAATTTCTTTTTTCTATTTTGCCTAAATCTAAAAAATTTCTCTCACTTTTCCCTCGAAAAAATTATCTCGTAAATTTAAGCAAAAAAAAAAAAAAAAGAATATAACAAATTATATATATGTATTTGACCCCAGATTTCATTCTTAAATATAAAGATGAAATCCATAAGAAGCTGTATACTCTAGGGAGAGTGACTCGCATCAACTATAGTAACGGATTTTCAAATCTATAAATCGATCAGCCTTGTAAGATATATACCACATATTTTATTGGAAGTTACATTTTTCCATTGAAATTTTTTTTTCCAATTTTCCCTACTTTTTTTTCCCCTCCTTTTTATTATTTTTTTTCCAACATTTTTCATTCAATTCCAAAGTAAGTGGACATTTACGGTTCTTTTTTTATATTATTCCTCATTGTGCGATTTAAATCAATTTTTATCAAATATATATTTTCTATATTTTTTATATATATATTCTATATATATTTTTTAAATATATTTTATATATATTTTTTAAATATATATTTTCGAAATATATATGTATTAAAAAAATCAATATAAGAAATTTACTCACATTGGTGGTGTCGTCTAGTTTTCGCTTCCATGCATCGCTACGTTCAATTAATGCGTTCCACTGCTCAGACAATTTATTCACTTCTCTGCGAATGCTCCGCGTTAATTCGCGGGCCTGTTCCTCTGCACTTCTATAACCCCTCGAATCTCCATCCAATTCTCGACCGGCTGAAAAAAAAAAAAATTCAATACCATTAAATACCACTGGTCATATGTGATCTATGATACTAAAAATAAAAGAATTTTTTTTCTCTTAAAATTTTTCATCGAAAGAATTCGATAATTCATAAACAAATTTTTTTTTCAAATAAAATTCTGTTATATTAAATTGTATATTCAATAGTATTTTAAAAATTTACTTTTTCCAATATAAATTTTGTTTCAATTATTAAAATTATTAAAAAATAAATAATTTTTTTTAATTAAAAAATTAATAATTTTTTCTCAAAAATTACTTTTAGAGAAAATAAAAAAAAAATTAACAAAATTGTTTATAGAAACGTGGAACAATTATTTACCTATGGAATTATTTCTTGATGACAAAAGTATAATATGTATTTGACTATGTATGTTTATGGTTAAACGATTGGTGAATTGAATATCGCTAAAGGGTATGTTCTATACCATAAACATAAATCAACATAACATGAAACAGATAGGGACAGAGCCAGAACAGTTGTAGGCGTTATCAATGCTAAACACGCACGTAAAAACTGTCAGGTGTGATACGATGCGTGATTCATTGGACAATTAATTCCCAACGTATATATATGCGTAACCGATTGTACACTCCAAAATACTCCTGTTTCTGCATATCGTAATTATTAGTTTGCTAATAATAACCAAACGATATTATTATTTACAAAAACAGAAAATTTACCTTTAGAACTAAATAATATAAGTTTCCAAAAAAATTTTCAATCAAAACATTAAAAAAAATTTTATTTATTAATTAAAAATTTTTATTTCGAACAATTAGCGAATTTTTATTCTAATTGGAAAGTGATGGAAAAGACTCGATATTAATTAAATTAAAAAATACTTCATAAACTTTTTTTTGTGAATAAAAAAAAAAAAAAAAATTTTTTTACCATCCAAGAATCGAGGGAATTCATTATTAAAAATACAAAAACAATACCGAGATTTACATTTCGGGAAGTGGATTCAAATGAGATAACTTCGAGAAGCTCTCTTGGAACGATGCAACTGGGTCAAAGGCATAAGTTTTACAAAACCCTCGACAATTTATAAACCTTTCTTTTCAGTTGGTGCTTTCATAGAAAACTATTCCGCATAAAACTATCGGGTTTATGTTAAACTAACTTTGCGAGTATTTTTCTTTTCTTTCCCTTTTTTTTTTTTGAAAATAAAAAATAGTAACATAATTAAAATATTTCAAAATAAAATTAGAAAAAAAAAAATGTTTTTTCTTCTAATAAAAATAAAAAAAATTTTCAAGAGGATTCATTTTCATTAAAGAAAAAGGTTAACGAGATTATAGAAACTGAGTGCGAATTTTTGCGCTTAAAAAAAAAGGAATTTTCAGTTAAGAAATCAGAATTATTTTGCATGGTTTTTTTTTGGTAAATTGAATTAGATGTTCGTGCAGTAGTAGTGTCCTATTCAACAGTTTCAATTTAGTTTGCCAAGCACGTGCCAAAAAGAGTTTCTCTTTTGAAGCAAGAATTTCAAATAAATGCGCGTATATTTTGTCACAAGTTTGACATTCGATGACACAACTTCCGGTTGGAAATATATATATAGGTATAGAAAATCAATTTTTCTCATCAACGAAAATATAATATCAATTCAAAAAAAAAAAGATATATGTACTCGACTTTTAAAAGAAGCGTAAAAATTTTTTTTCTATAATACAGAAAAATGAAACCTACAATCAAAAAATTTTTTTTACTTTCATCATTTTTCAAAAATTTTCATTTCAATTGAATTGTAAAAAAAAAATTAGAAATTAGAAAATTCAAATGTAAATTAAAAATTTGTAAAATAATTAAAAAAAAGAAATGAGAAATATAAAGAGGAGTTTAATGCGCCTTTACACGTACTGCACCATATTGCGGACAAGGTAGTCGGGTTGCCTTCACGCAGGAACTAAACATATTTCTGATGCAAATAAATTATAGTTACTTTTATAAAAACGCTGCTTTATAAAAAAATATTTTGGAATAAAAAATTAAAAATTTTTATGTCAATATTAATATTTTACTTTTTGATCAAGATAAAAACATTTTTTTTTCAATCTCTCTAAAGTAATTTAAAAATTGAGGGAAAAAGTTATATATATAGAAATGTGATTTTTTTTTCTCGATTTTTGGAAACTAAGTACAACTAAAGTTATTCTACATACGACGGGGCTAAATGTCAAGAGAGTAACTTTACGAGAACATTGCATTTTCCCTAGAGAAAACGAGAAGTCCTGTCTTCAAGTTATGTGGTCCAATGGGACGGTACCAACTAGTTTCTACAAGTTCTGTCAATCTATAATTAAATTATGTGTCTAGAACATCATTGATCTTGAGAATTGACATCTTATCTATTAATTCAATTAAGATCAAATAAAAAATTTTCCACTATTTCAAAGAACTATTTTTCATTATTATTTTCTTTTTTCCTTCTGTTATTATTCCTATTTGCTTACGAAAAAAGTAAATTTGCCCTATCGTAAAATAGAAAAAAAAAAATTTTTACAAAATTTAAATAAATTATTTGATAGACATATTTGAATAATAATTATTTTTTTTTCATTTTGTTATTATTCTTATTATTTGCTTACGAAAAAAGTAAATTTGCCCTTTCGTAAAATAGAAAAAAAAATTATTATTTTTACAAAATTTAAATAAATTATTTGATTTTGAATAATAATTAAATATTAAATTCCAAATATTTACTAAATATAGTTTTGAAATAAATAAATAAATATATTTATTTATAATTATAATTAAAAATGTAAAGTAAATTTACCTTCAGAATCTGACGTGTCCGATAAAGGTGGTTCATTAGCGATGTATTGACGACCGCTGAGTAAATTATTTTCCACAACGGGTCGTTTGTCTTCAAGTTGACGTCTAAAACCACGATGATCATCCTGAAACATTAATTAGAAAGAAAATTTCAAATAAGATATAAAATTTGCCACTATTATTATTATTTTTCAAGAATCTTGCATTTTTTAAAAAGAAAATCTTTTTTTACTAAAGAAAATCTTCACTTTTCTGGTGCACTCGTTTCTTTCTTCAAACATCGTGTAAAATTTAAAGTGTCTCTGAAAGTAAATGCTTTCCGTAAACTCTAAAGGCATCCTTTTAGAAAACAGAAAAAGGAGACACAGAGAAAGAGAAAAAGAAAGAGAGAGAGAGAAAAGGACATTTAGAATTATCGTGAAACGACCTAGGCATATGTAATTAGATTTAAGCCTAGTAAAGAAAGTAGCGAACTGAAAAAGGTTAAGTGGATAAAGCACATAATTTACTTATATTTCATGCCTCTTAGAAACGCGAGGGGGTTAATAATACATTTTTTTTTTACAAAAGAAAAAATATTTCTTAAAAATCCTTTTTTTAATCGATTTTTATATTTATTAAAAAATAACTTTGAAAATTCGGAAAATATTTTAAAATTAGAAAAAAAGAAAGTCTTTGTCATTTTCTAGAAGAAGTTGAGGATGAAAATAGTTTCGTTTACGAGCAAAAGCGGAGAAGCTGGGGGACAATTTCGAGAGTATCAAAGAGGTATGAGAGGGGGGGGTGAGGGGTGTGAGGTGGTGGCTTAGGGTTGGCAAAAGGGGTTTTGTGAAGAACGTATTCTTGATTGACTCCTCGTTCACGTTCGCACCTGCGGCGAATGAAATGAATCCGGAAAATTTATGTTCGCCAGTCGCGCTGAGAAAGAGCACTCACTTTGCCCCGTTTGCTTTGCGAATCTGCTATATATGGCAATGTAAATGTTCACTGGGTGCTTTTCTTGCGCGCAAAGGTGTAATAACAGCAACTACGTCGTTTCAGAAATTCTTCCTATCTTTCTTCAACAGTTACGATGTCATTACGCTTTATATTAGAACGTTTAATGCGTTCGAAGCTATAATACTCCTTGACGATAAAGCTCTTTCTCTCTCTCTCTCTTTCTCTTTCTCTCAATTTCTCTCCTTCTTACATGTCATCGGCTCAAAAAGCTTCTTTAGGTTAAATTCATTTAATTACCTTGACATTAACAATCATTACTTACAAAACTGTTAAACATTTGTTTTGTTTTATTTTTTATCTCGAGGTGTATTGTAGTCGAATCGTCCATGGCAGATGGTAAAGTAACCATTGACTTTAATTGACTCTTTCTACTGATAGAAAAATTAAAAGAATGTTTTTTATAATAAAATGTTATTTTTTAAATTCAATTTTTACTGATACTATTGAAATTAGAAAGAAATGAATTCTCGTCTGACTGAAATTTACTTTTACTACTGCTGGAATAATTGCGAGAATTTTTAATCGTTTGATTAAAACCGATTTTTTCTACTGATACTAATAACTTTCCAAGTCTGACGAAAGCTAAACTTTTACTACTATTAAAATTATAAGGAATTCAATTCACGTCTGACTGAATTTTTGTTTTACTACTGATAGAATAATTGCAAGAATTTTAAATCGTCTGTAAAAACCCAACTTTTTCTACTGATACTAATAAAATTCCAAGTCTGACTAAAGCTAAACTTTTACTACTATTAAAATTATAAAGAATTCAATTCACGTCTGACTGCATTTTAGTTTTACTACTGATAGAATAATTGCAAGAATTTTAAATCGTCTGTAAAAAAACCGACTTTTTCTACTGATACTAATAATTTTTCAAGTTTGACTAAAGCTCAACTTTTACTACTATTAAAATAAGAATGAATTCAATTCACGTCTGACTGAAATTTACTTTTACTACTGATAAAAAAATTACGAAAATTTTAACTGATTAATATTGATTTTTTCAACTAAAATTTGATAATAATTTTCCAAGTCTGACTAAAGCTGAACTTTGACTACTAATAAAATTGTTGGAATTCGACGTCTGACTAAAATTTATTTTTACTACTGATAGAACAATTGCGAAAATATTTGAAATGTCTGACTAAAAACTATTTTTTCTACTGATAGAATAATTGATTATGGTTTTTCCAAGTCTGACTAAAATCGATTATTACTACTGTTGGTAAAATTAATATAATTCCAAACTAGTCTAACGGAAACTTACTTCTACTACTAAAACAGAAACAATATTTTGATTTGTCTGACCAAAGTCGACTTTTACTACTGACAATTAAATTAAAAGAACAACCTTGTCTGATTAAACATGGCTTTTACTACTTTTAGAAGAATCGGGAGTATAAACGTCTGACTAAAATCGATTATAACTACTATTGGTAAAATTAATATAATTCCAAACTAGTCTGACTGAAACTTACTTCTACTACTGGAACAGAAACAATATTTTGATTTGTCTAACCAAAGTCGACTTTTACTACTGACAATCAAATTAAAAGAACATTGTCTGACTAAACATGGCTTTTACTACTTTTAGAAGAACCGGGAGTTTAAACGTCTGACTAAAATCGATTATTACTACTGTTGATAAAATTAATATAATTCCACACTAGTCTGACTGAAACTTACTTCTACTACTGAAACAGAAACAATATTTTGATTTGTCTAACCAAAGCCGACTTTTACTACTGACAATTAAATTAAAAGAACATAACCTTGTCTGACTAAACATGACTTTTACTACTTTTAGAAGAATCGTGAATTTAAACGTTTGACTAAAATTAATTCTACTACTTATAGGGACAAAAACAAATTTTTTTGTTAAGTCGGATTAAAACTGTCTTTTACTACTGATATTTAATAAATGTGACTTTAAATTAATATTTTATGTAAATAAATTCATTTAGAGATTTATTCTAATGTCGACGATTTATAAAAGAGGATTTAATTATTATCTGATTTCACGTGAATACTGATTAATCATTTGAGCCTTCAAACAATCTAAATATCGACGTGTCACGATGCATAAAGGACTAGCGTGCAGTTTAATCCTGATTAGCAGGTCCATGTTACCAGCACGCATCCCTTGCTGTTCGATAACCCTGAGTGTATGGAGAAGATAAGGTACATTTAGCAACATAAGCCGCGATGTTATCACACAATAATTGTCGATCAAACTATATAATTTTATTGCGGAAAATGTGTGATTAATTGAATTAAGACTTTTTTCACATATGAATAAACAAATTAAATTTTACTCCAACGAGAAACAAAAATTTCTCAAGTCTGACTAAAAATAACTATTACTACTAGTTTTACAAAATGACAAGAAACAAGAGTGTAATTTACTTTTATTACTGTGAAACAAAAAAAATTAGGAGAAATCAAAATGTCTGACTAAAACTAACGTTTACTACTGATACTATAAAATAAAAAAAAATTATCTCAGTCTGACTAAAATGACTTTTTCTACTGATATTTTTATTCGTTTTTAATTTTATATTTACTATTTTTATTAGCTTCGAATTCGTACTGTAATGTCTGACTAAAATGACTTTTACTACTTATTAAAAAAATAATTTGTCAAGATTGACTAAAATTTACCTTTACTACTGATAATAAATTTAATGTCTGACTAAAATGACTCTTACTACTTGCGTAATATAAAGAAGAATAATTTTCCCTGTCTGACTGAAATTGACTCTTACTACTGATATCCAAGAATTTAAAGCTAAATCTGACTATAACTACTAATATCGATTTTACCTTTTTTGTTAATTAATTTGTTAATAATTAATAAATTAATTAATTAATTAATTTGTTAATTAATTGAATAATTTTTTTCACCTTGTTACAGTGAAAAATTAAAAAAAAAATTAAGAAAATAAATAAAAATTGCAATTGAATAGAAAAAAAATTGGATTCTGTAAAATCATACCTGTTGTTTTTGTAATGCTGCCATTTCTCCGCAAACAGGACCCAATCCAGTGAGCTCGGTATCCTTTCTTATTACCCATTCGATAAGCTCGCGCAAGGACAGTAAAAGCGCGTTCCAATGTTCTGTATTGCTCTCCAATCGATTTCTGAAAATAGATGTAATAAATGATTACATTGCTCTCAGACATCGGTATATAGATATCTGACCATTTTGTCATTAATTATTCAATACAAGATGAAATTAACAGATAATTCAATTTTCAAATTTGATTTTCCTCTCTGTTCTAATAGAATTTGATTTTCTCTTTTTCTCTCAGAGATTATATTATCGAAAAAAAGGTCGATAAAATTAGCTAATTTTGAAATTAAAAAAGACATATTGATTTTTAATTAATTAATTGTTATTCTTAATTATTATTTTTTATAATCAATTATTATATATATAATAAATTATTATTATGTAACGTCCCGTGTATATTTTGAGCATATAAATGTTCAAATAAGATTAGTTTAGGTAAAATTAGAATTTTAAGTGTTTCTCACACTTCGTCGCTGTTTTGAACGTTTATTTCTAAACAAACTACAAGTGTAAATAATCTTAAATTAAATAAAAGATATCAGAACGTTCTCTTCAAGAAAACAATTATTTCTAAAACGTCTAAAATTCTCAAAACCTTAAGCTCAAAATCAACAGTTCCGAAAATTAAAATAGAGAAGAATTGTATTTTGAAGATATCATTATGATATCTCCTGTAAATAAAGTCAGCATAGTTGAATAATCTAGCGTAACTATCTAAATATCCCGAGCACCGATGCACTCTTGCAAACAACAAGACCTAACTATTTTTTATGTAAAGTATGAGAATGAGTGATTTAATTATAAATAATGAATAATAATTGTTTAAATGTTTAAATTTTATTGTTAATTAACTTTAATTAATTTTGATTTCATTAATTGGATTTAATTATTTAAAATATTTCAAGTTTTTATTATAAATTAATTATTTCACAGATAAATCATTGTGTATAATTGTTTATAAATATTATTTGAACATTTGAATTATTATTACTCATTTTTGATTATTATTAATTTTTAATTCAATTATTTTAAATTACTTTTCAAACGTTTTAGAATAATTTTATTAAATATAAAGAATATTCTATACTTTTATAATAAAAATTAAATTAACAAACAAATTAAACAATTTTAAATAAATTTTAATTATTTTTAATTATTCAAATTAATTTTTAATCATTAATTAACAATTTAAGTATACAAAATTCTTTATATTTTAAAACTTTAATAATTAATTATATTTTATTGTTAAAAATTATTGTTAATAACTTTTTAACTAATAATATTAATATTCATAATGTTTAAATTAATTTTTAATATTAATAATGTGAAAATTATGAAAAACTCAGAAATTGGTTGGAAAACTGAATTTTGGCTCCATCTCTTGAAAACGGTCAAAACTTTAAGCCCCTTCCACTTGAAAACTCCCCTAATTCAAGTACGCCCACGCAACTTCTTATCTCTCAAGGCTGGGCCTGAAGGGCCCAATGCCGTCACTGACCTAACCAGTTTTTTCCCCATTTTCTTTCCTTGGATCCAATCCTTGTAATTTCCCAACCTCTTTTTCCTCCACTTTAAGACCCATTATTTTAAAACATAGTTCCATCCCTAAAAATAGGTAGGGACAATGATATAAAAATACGAACCCCGTTTAGAAGTCAGTCACAAAAACAGTCACAAAAAAAACAGTCACAAAAAAAACAGTCACAAAAACAGTCACAATAATTCTAACAAAAAAATTCAAACTACTTCTCCTTCAAATTCTTTTTCTTTAAATTCAAGTTCAAGTTCAAGTTCAATTAATTTTCACTTTTAATATTTTAAAAATTTTCAAGTGTTAAGTTTAAATTATATTTAAAATTCTCACGATTCATCAACAGTACGAGCCAAAAATTCAACGCTTTTTCAACCAATTTCCGAGTCTACAAGTGCCAATTTGTTTAAATAAAAGTAAGTTTTATATTAAAATTGCTGTCTAACTTTCATCTAAATCTTTTTCTTGTCATCTCTAAATAATTCCGAAGAATATTAATGCGTTAATCGTGTTCTTATTTCTTCAATTTCCTTGTCGTATTTTTGTATTTACCATAATTTTCATTACCTTACCTAAGGATTTTAATGCGTTTATCGCGTAATTATTCCTTTAATTTCCCCGCGAAAATCCCTATTTACATATATTGATCAATTTGAATCGTTCCCGAGTTAGTGGACGCAAGTCTAGACTCGAAACATAAAATAAGAGAATATTTCCGAATATTCTCTGAAATTTATACTTGCGTTATGCATCCGACGTAACATAGGGTAAATTTTTGGAGGCCCCGGGGGGATAGTTCAAATTGATCTTTATAAAAAAAAAAACTTCTTCTTTCATCTATTTTCTCTCTAATTATCTCAATTTTATATATAAAAAGAATCATTTTATTTACTAAAAATTCAATACAAATGAACGTTACGTTAATAAATATGTTAATTGTGAAATATTCGTATATTCGTATAAAAATTACCGAAATTTAATAAAATTGAAAATTCCCTATAAATTGCTAGAATGTTAAAATGAGAATTTGTCATTATAAATTGAAAAATTAACAATATTTCAAAAATTTTATGTACATTGGTTAATTTGGAAAATTTCCGTAAATTACTAAAATGCTCAAAATCTAGAATTTACCATTACAAGAATGAAAAATCAACAAAATTTAAAAGAATTTGTGTAAAATTGTCACACAAATTGTTATTTAAAAAAATTGGAAATTTCATTTTCTAAAAATTAAGAACTAAATTTTTAAAACTTTGTTTTTAAAATAAAACTTAAATAAATTTTCATTTTCAATTTCGAATAAAAACTGAAATTTATAAATAAATTAATAAAATGTCACATTTATTAATTAAAACTTGTGTTAAAATGTGCGTGTGCAACATATTAAACTGTTAACATGCATAAAAATCCAGTTGCGATTTCGATTTAAAGCACCCCTTTGACAGGCGGACGAATCGATAGGCGCAATCGATATATATATATCGATTGTCAGAATCGATCCCTTACTCTCGAGAGCATGCCTCTCGCTGTACGTGCCTTTACAGTAGTACCGCACTACGGCTGACTACGCAAGTCGGTCATCGGCCATTACTACTGCGCGCGACGACAGCGGGCCCCGCCAAGCTGCATCGCGCCTCTAGCGGTCTCCCCCCCGCGAATTCCCCGTCCACCTCGCGCTTCATCTCGCGATCGCGAAGTTTTTCGCGGTTTTTACTAGAAAATTTGAATTTTAACTTATATATTGTAACTTCTCTTCTATTATCGCGATTTTGAAAATTCTTTTTTTACCCTTATTCTATTTTTGATTATAAAATGATTATCCCTAATAATAACCTTGTTAATGAATTAAAAAAAAAGATATTCTAAATCCAAAAATTCTAAATCCAAATGTTATAAATTAAAAATTCTAAATCCAATTATTCTAAATTAAAAATTCTAAATCCAATTATTCTAAATTTAAAAATTCTAAATCCAAATGTTCTAAATCCAAATGTTCTAAATCCAAATGTTATGAATCAAAAATTATAAATTAAAAATTCTAAATCCAATTATTCTAAATCCAAATATTCTAAATCCAAATATTCTAAATCCAAATGTTCTAAATCTAAAAATTCTAAATCCAAATGTTATAAATCAAAAATTAAAAAAATCCAAATTCTAAATCCAAAAATCAAACAAATTCTAAATCAAAATCAAAAATTTTAAATAAAAAAATTATACAAATACTAAATCCAAAATATTCTAAATAAAAAAAAAATACAATTTCTAAATTCAAAATATTCTAAATTTAAATTATAAATTAAAAATACAAAGAAAATTCTTAATTCAAGTTACTAAATAAAAAAATTGAACAAAAAAATTAAAAATTCTAACTCTAAAATATAAAATAAATTTTTCTAAATCCTAAATCTAAATCAAAAATATAAATCAAAATCTATTTTTAAAAATGAATTCCTAAATGAAATTTTAAATACAAATTTTACAAAATTTAAAGCTAATTTTAATTCAAAGTCGAAATTTTTAATCAAAATCTATGACAAAATTCTGATTTTAATTTTAAGAAATGAACCATTTAATAAAAATTATCAAAATGTGTCAAAAAGTATTAATTTCAAACAAAAACAAAGAAAATTTAACAATTAAAAGTTCAACAAAAATGAAACAAATTATAAAAAAGGGTAATTTAATTAGATAATTAAAATTCAAAACTTCTCTAATGAAAACCTCTAGAATAAAACAACTCAATTCCAAAATTTATATTTAAACAAAAAAAATAATAAATAAAATTAAAAATGTTTTCTTTAAAAAAAAATATATATATTCTTTAAAAATAAATTTAACATTGAGAAAAATTCAATTGACAAATCCTGCAATACATGTTAATTCCAAATCCTAAACCTTTAAATATCCTAAAACAAGATGTAAAAATTTGATTTTAAAAAAAACATGTATATGCTTATAATAAGAAAATCCAAAAATTTATATAAAAATAATTTTATATTCAAGATTTTTAATTCCAAATCAAAAATTAAAATCAAACAAACAAAATTCAATTCCATATCAATAATTTTAAATTATAATTATAATTTTTTTTTTATCAGTAAAATCATAATTAAAAAATATCAAATTAAAATGAAAATTTAGAAGTCCAAATCATTAATTCTAAAATTCAAAATTATGTTTAAAAAAAAAAATGATAAAATAATTAGATTTCATTTAATTCAAGTCAAATAAAATAAAAAAAATGTTTAAGAACAAGATCATAGTAAAAAAAAAAAATATATATATATATAAAATGTTAAAATAAACATAAGAAATACAATAATTTTTTTTTGTTTTATTAACTTTAAGATTATTAATTTGTGTTTTATTTGTTACAATCTAATATTTAATAATAAAAACCATTTCATAATTTTTTTTTTATTAATACCAATTTCTAAAGAAAGAGTTTTTTTTTGTATCTGAAATTTATTTACTTTTGATATATATATTAACAATATTTGTTTGATGGATCTATTAGATTAATAGCGGTT